CTATACAATGATTAAGAGAAACTAACTAAAAAACCATGCACTGTTGAAAGATATGGATTTGTTGATCGTGAGTTGTATAGTATGCACGCTGTCCCACATGGCCTACAACGCGTGCATTCAATGTGTCTCACGCGGTCGTCAATGTGTTAAACACGGGATGTACCTGTACATATATGTAGTGCGTCGCCGTAACTACATAGTACATAAGCCCCAAATAACCCAGAAACTCTTGCTGACTTTTGCGGTTGTGATTAGTAATTGTGTTGAGAGTTACTGGTCACAAGAGCTGCATTCATGCAAAGTGCGACTACCAGTCACATCTAAAAATTCCATGTTAGCCACCTACGATACCCCTAGATTCAACTGGAGACCTACTTGAGACACTGATTTCCGGACCTCCACCCTCTCAGCAAGGTGACTAACTCGTATGGTTAAGAAAACAGTTCAGTTGAATGACGGTCAGTTTCGAGATTGTAGGGAGACTGTAGGCTCGGTGAAAAATCCTTTGAGAAATGTAGACGGGAGTTTTGACGCGGAGGTTTTCCCTATCAAGTATGGGGGGGGGGCGAGTTACCCCAAACCAGAATCACTGAGAGTGATGATACTCACCATATTGCATCGCATCGTCAAGCGCGACTTATGTACCCTCTGAAAGCGATTTTAACCCCGTTGCTTCCGAAAAAAGCACGTCTCTCACGTAGATCTCGCTGTGAGTGAAAGCATCACAGTTGAGACTTACCTTACTAAGCATTCTTCTCTCATGTTCTGGTCTGATCTAATCCTTTAATCTTTTGAATGTTACCTACCTTTCATTCTTCTTGCATACTCAGTACTCTTGTTTTTCGTAGTCCTATGTTTTCTTTGCAGTTGCAAAGCGCTATCGACCAACTGGTGGAGCGGAACAACGAAACAGATGGTGAGTTTTTCCTTCATGGAAAACAGCTTCTTTTCTTGTCGCCTTTGCACCGCTTTATACCTTCTGTCTGGGTTGTTGTTGTGATATGACGCTGTAGACTTAGACTACTATCGACTGGCTTCACATTTTCAGTTCTTTAGAACAGTAGTTTTTTCTGTTTTTTTTTCTTTCTTTAGTAGAGTAGTTTCTGTCACAGTAGTAACCGAATATTCAGTCGAACCTTCAAATATACAACTGAAACTTGAAAATTCTGTTGATTGGTCTCTCTAAAAAACGCGATTTTGTGTCATCTCATTCTTAAGGATATGGCCAAAAAGAACTAATTTTTCAAACTCCTCTTTCTGGGGCATCACCAGGCTTGTGACCTCTTCCACGATTTTTTCTGGGCCACGTACTGCAATAATTTTCTTCTTTTTGGCGAAAACTATATTTATAGTTAGTCACACTGTTGAGGGTCAGCACGACCTGGAGATAGTTTTTCCTCAGTGTCCCTTTTTACTTTCTTTCATTGACAACGGATACGGCTCCAAAATCTCACGGACGCGCGAAACGGGGAATCGGTCATCAAAAAAATTATTCATGTCACCTCACTCCTCGTTAAATACGATCACTTCGTTTCGGCGACCAAATACGTTCCCCTCATCGAAAGTTCTTTGACATACGATTTGTGCTGGGGTGCAGCTGTTGGACCTTCACTCCTGCCGTAGTCGATGTAGAGTATTGCCCTCTTAGCAGTTCACTTTTCGTTTTGAGGTGAAAGTAAGTAAGCAAGCACTTTAATTGCGGGCCATTCATATCGAATACTACCTACTTTGTTTTATTACCAGCTTTGCACTTCAGGCCACAGGATTTTGTTCCATAATATCGGGAGCAGGGCACGCCATCGTTGTGATGATCACAACGGGGGGGGTCGTATTTGACCGCGAGGGAGGGGGGTCGTATTTGGTCTGAGAAAAATTTTTTTGATAGTTGATTTCTCTTGTTTCACGGACG